AGAAAAACACAGGTCCATTTTGGCCAGTTAGTGCATCTTGTATGCTGATTCAGTTCTGGTTCAAGAGGCATCTTCAGAGGCTTTTCTTTCTCATTTAGGGAGTAGTAAGTCACTTTCAATAAGGGAACAGTCTCACAATACCTGCTCATGCTCTGGGGTGGGTGGGTGGGGAATCTGTCCCTTTGATTCCATATCATTATACCCTTCCAGAAGCAGGCTTATCAAATATCTGTGTTGTTTGGTGCCTGGCAAAGCCTCCTGAACATACTTGCAGGACTGTGCTCTTATTGGTCAGTTCTTTCATTATAACGGAGTCATAGATTTAGAGCTGGAAGGTAGAGTAGTGGTATCAACTTCAAATAGAAACACTAAACTGTTCGTGAGTATTCCTGCAACTTAGAAACCGCATATTCACATTATACATGTCCTATTACCTTTTTAGGGCAGCTAGGAGGCATAATAGATAGAGTACTGGACCTAGAGTCAGGAAGACTCATCTTCCTGAGTTCAAATCTGGCCTCAGACACTTAATAGCTGTATGACCCTGGGCAAGTCACTTCACCCTGTTTACCTTAGTTTCCTCATCTGCAAAATGGGCTGGAGAAGGCAATGGCAAACAACTCCAGTATCTTTTCCAAGAAAACCCCAAATGAGGTCACAAAGAGTCAGATATGACTGAAAATGACTCAACAATAAATTTCATTTTATTCATTTTGTTAAATATTTCTCTAACACATTTTGATCTAGATCACTACAAATTATACTCTTGTGTTTGACACCTCTGACTCAGATGCTATGTAGTCCAAGTCCCTCAATTTCCACATAGGGAAACTGATGGCCAGGGAGATACATTGATTTGTCTGTCATAAATGGTAGTAAGTAGCAAGGCCAGGATTTAAATTCTAAAAGGAGCACTCTCCATTGTGCTATACCATATCTACCTGGTGGCTAGAATGATGCTGACAAGTCATGAATGCCGTAAGTGGCAGTCTTCACAGGTCCTGTCAGAATGTAGGAGGTTAAGTGTATGCTATTGGTACTATCTAGTACCATTTACATTTGGGACCAAGCAGAGAGATATGGATAGAGATTTGCTGGTAATAAGATCTTTGGTTGTTCTTGAACAACATTTGGGTGCATAAAAATTGGAAGGAGTAATTAATATTTCAGAGGAGTATTGGGTTGACCAATGCTTAGGAGTTCGAAGTTTGTTAACTTCATTTTTCCCGTAGTAAAGATCCCATTTAATTTATATGTGAATAATATGTAATCCTCTCAGGTCACCTGAAGTTGGGAAGAAGACTGGGATCCTTTGGGAACAAAGGTATGAGTAAAATTGGTTATAAAATGGGATGAAAACATTCCCTTGTAAGATTAGCCCATAAAAGCATTGGGGAAAGCTCACAAAAATTGGCATCTCATGTTGGGGTGAGATGGTTCAACCATTGAGTGCCATCTATTGGCTTAATTGGATATAACAACCCATTGGGATAACTGTTTCTTTTACTCAAACATGGTGAATGAGCCAGAAAAACCTGAGCCCAAAACATCATGATGTCCTCTTGGCTTACCCAGATATGGTTCTGAGTAGTCAGTTTTGAGCCCAAACTCTTCCTCTTATGAATAGATACACTGGTCCTGCCTGTGTCAAAATGAAGCATAGTGTTTTATTAAAAAGAGTTCAGATTAACTTCAATTCAGGAGAAAAAAAAACCAAACAAAACCAAACAAGTAGATACTGTTTATGTCCAGTCACTGACTAGCAGTTAGATAGACAGCCCATAGAGCTGGACCATTGATGAATATCCCTTGGGTAGATACTGTGCATGAACCAAATGAGCTGGGCCCAGAAAACAAGAGGATAGAAGCTAGATTACCTTTGAGGAATTGTGTAGTGCTTTTAACAGTCCCAAGTTTCTCCTGGATGCTAAGGCTTGACTTTTAAAAAATAATATTCTTCCAGTGATGCTCTATGCTAAGTCACATAATACAACAGTCTCTGAAAGATATTTTTTCCTCTTCTGGACTTCATCACCTGCAGGAACTCATCATTCTTTAAGATGAAATCCACTCTGAAACTCACTGCTTCTCAGCACCCCCTGCTCCTGGGGCTCTTCCCTTCTTCTAGATGTAGGGGTATGGAACTAGTCTCTGACCCTCCACCATTCAAGTAGAACACATGGGGAATTCACCATATCATTTACCATGGCTTGCTTTCCTGGATGTCACCTCTAGAAACTCATCATTCTGCAAGACGAAATTAACCTTGACACTTTTACCTCCTTAGATCATTTCCCACCCTGACTGTAGAACTTCATTATGCTGCTATCCTATCTCTGGATTAGATTATGAATTCCTTGAAGGGAGAGACTCTTGTGCTTTTCTTTCTATCCCTAGGGTTTTGTGCACTGCCTGGCACATAGTAGTTGCTTAATAAATGCTTATTTTTTGTTGTTGTTCAGTCATTTCAGCTGTGTCTAACTCTGTGACCTCATTTGGGGTTTTCTTAGCAAAGAGACTGGAACAATTTGCCATTTCCTTCTACAGCTCGTTTTACAGATGAGGAACTGAGGCAAACAGGTGAAGTGACTTGCCCAGGGTAGTAAGTGTCAGAGACCAGATTTGAACTCAGGAAGATGAGTCTTCCTGATTCTGGGCCTAGCATTCTATCCACTGTGCCACTTAGCTGCCCAAAATGTTTATTTACTCTGACTCTAATGTTGTGGGTCATCCAAAGAACAATGGTGGGAGTTGTGTCCTAGTAGCTCTCTTCAGTTCCCAGGCTATGGTCACCCCTTAAAGGACCCACACATTGTCTTCTGTCGTTTGGCCTCCTGGAACTTGGCTCTCAGTACCAAAGACTTTCATGACTCAGTCTCCTATAACTTAGCTTCTTTAGTTGGGCCACTTAGCAGTAAATAGTGGTTGTCACCTTGTGAGGGGACCAGGTCTTCAGCAGATGTCTTACATGGAGAACATATGACACTTCAGAAACTCTGTATCACTCACAACCACACATCTCTACCAGAATGCTTGTGTTCTTTTGATACTTTTTGTAACCTCCCCCTACATCCTTCTGTTTCATAGTCTTTCCTGTCTCCTACCAGGGAGCTCACAACATAGGATGGCAACTTTTCTTCTTGGACCACTCAAACAAGTTTCTGTTTTTAATTCCATCCCAGTTTATCAGGTCAGTTTCTTTCTCCCAAATGAGGACCCTCTCATTTCCATCAGCACCTATTATTGAGTCTGGTTCAGAAGGAGGACTCTTGTTCTTCCTCTCTTTTTGTTTTTTCATCTCCCATCTTCCTTTGGGTTGGTCCAGGTTATCCAATTACACCGGGGCTGCTTTGAGAAAGAAAGGGAGGAAGGAAGGAGTAGTGCAGAATTGGATGCTTTGGGCAAGGGTACTTGTACCGTGAGAAGAGATTAGAAAGCAACATTTCCATAAAGGACTGGGAAATTCAAGGACAACAGGAATTCTGAACTGAAAACATTTAATTTAGAATGAGAAATGATGATTCTTTGGGCTCCTGAATCAGAATCCTACATGGTCAGCCATTGATAAACCAGAGCATTGCCATGGTTTGAAAAGCCCTTTTTCTTAGGCATAACAATGAGAAACTGATTAATTATGAAGATTAGCATTTTATAAGGTGGGGATGCTAGCCTGACTATGGAAAGCCAACCCTGACGATCTAGGGAATTAGGATTAGCAGTGACTGTCTGTGGGCAATTCTAACATGCAGGGGAGGATGAGGGGTTGCTGTTACTACTTGTGGCAGATTGTGGGAATGCTAGTAATGCATGATGGCGTTGCCAGATGCATTGTGGACCACTCTGACTTTTAACCCCTGTTTTCTGCACTGTCTAGAGCAGACCTGAACAACTTGTAAACTTCTTTGGCCTGCAGCTAGGTTAGAGACAGACTGAGGATGGTTGGTCACAGCGGGTCACGTGACAAACTAGAAAGAGTCGGGAATGGCAACCTTACTTTTTTTCCGGGCCCAAGTTGTTCAGCCCTGCTCTGGAGTCCTGACTGTTCCTTGCATGACACTCCATCTATCACCTCCAGGCATTTTCCTTGGCTGCCCCCTGCCCCCAACATTCTCCTTCCTCATCTCTGCCTCCTGGCTTTTTTGGCTCCCTTCAAGTCTCAGTTAAAATCCTACCTCCTGCAAGAAGTCTTTCCCAATTCTCCTTAATCTTAGTGGCTTTCCTGTTTCCAATTTATCCTCTGTATAGCCTGTTTGTACACACACTGGTTGTAATGTTGCCCCCATCGTCCAGACAGTGACCCGGCCCATCTGAAGCCCTCAGAGCTACAGGAACTCTTCCACACTCTTAGTTGCAGAGCAGATCGTGACCCGCTGTTCATTTCCAAGTCCTCTCAACCAACCAAATCATCCCTCTGGCTGCTGATGCCTGGCAGGGCAGGACTTTGCAGAGGATCTCAGTCCTCCTTCATTCCTTCTGGTGATGGCCCTCCAACTTATTCTATAACCAGTTTGCTCTGTATATGGCTTGCCTGTAGGTATCTTGTTTGCATATTGTTTCATACCGCCCCACCCCATTAGACTGTGAGCTCCCTGAGGGCACAGGCTGTCTGTTGCCTTTCTTGCACCCCCAGATCTACCTAGCACAGAAGGCGCTTAATGAATATCCTTGGTTTGTTTATCTCCTCCAATATACCGGGAGCTCCTTGAGGGCAGGGTTTTTGCCTTTTTTTGGTATCCTCAGCACCTGGCACAAAGTCGTCGTTTAATCCAAGTTTATGAGCCACCTGATGTCCTAGGTGAGGTCTACCCAGCAGGCAGGACCAGCTTCTTCGCATGTTGCTCGACCCTGAGCGCTGCAAGTAATGTGTCCCACGCTTATCGTGCGTCCGCGTGCTGCCCGCATGGGGCAGGGCGAGGCTGCGAGACAGAGCGCTTGAAGCCTGATTGGCTTCGAGGGCGGTGGGGGCGGGCCGAAGCGACAGTGAGGCGGTTGGTGATTGGGCGAGCGGGCGCGAGAGCGGCCTGGTCCACAGGAGGCACCAGACTATTTGAAAGACGCGGCCTTGCGCCGGGGCTTCTTTCGACCCACCTTCCACCCTGGTCCCGGGAGGCTACAATGGAGGGGGCGACGGAAGCGGCAACGAGGCAGAGGAGGCGGCGGCGGCTCAGAGGTAAGGGGGAGCCGGCCGTGGGGATGGGAGCGGGCTGTAGGTCGGGGTGTCCGCTGTGGAGACCCGGGCCCTGAGTTCGAATCCCGCCTCTGTCGCCCCACCATGGGCCTCCCTGGCCCACTCCTGTGTGGATCTAGATCCTTCTCCGACAGTGAAGAAACCGAGCCCCAGAATCCGACCTCACGCCCCCAGGGGCCCTCCACATCCGGCGCTTTTACAGAGAAGGAAACTGAGGCAATGCCCTCGAGGCTGACGGCTGGGCCCGGCCCGGACCGCGGGTGGGGGGGGGGTGGTCGAATTTGCAGTCCAAGAGGCGCTGGCGGGAGGGCGAAAAGCCGACAATGCAAGAGCGGGGCTGCGCTGACCCAAGACCTCCCGGGTGAGGAAACGCCCTCCGCCCGTGCGGGTGGCCGGCGCCTCCTGGGCGGTCCCGGGAGGTTGGAAGGGAGAGCATTTATGAAGCGCCTAGTGTGTGCTGAGAGAGCGTGGAGAGGTGAAGGCCCGGGCCCAGGTCACCAGGGAGGAGAGTCAGAGGCAGGATTTGAACCCGGGCTTTTCTCACTGGCCCTCTCTCCCATTTTGCTTAAAGGCTCTCAAATGAAAGGTCACAGATGGAACTCAGAGCCCAGGAGAGAAAACCCCTCAGGGGACCTACCTTCTTTGCAAGTCAGAGTTTTAGGCAGAAAAAAGCATTGATAAGCATTGATTAAGAAAAAGCTTCTTGTGTGTTAGGTCACACTTGAACCCAGGTCCTCAGGTGCAAGGTCCTTCTCTCTTTTCTCCTCCAACCTGCTCTCTCCCTTTGTGGTAAAACGTTTTTCAAATGCAAAAGGGTCCTGGGGTCTGTAAAAAGGTGGTCACATAGCCCAGTGGAGACACTGTTGCAATCAGGATAACCCACCTTATGTACTGATTCCCTGTATGATCCTGGACAAATGACTCTATTTCTCTAAACCGGTTAATTGGGAGAATTTGGATGAGAGTCATCCAGAATGAGCAGTCAAGAATGTGCTGCAGTTAGCACTGGTGGAGGGAATGCTGACACTGATTAGCTCTTGGGTCCACTGCGGTATAAAATGTGCATTATAATGGCTTCAGGGATATTTATTTATTTGTAAAGCCCCCAAAATTTCAGGTACTCTTTAAATGTTTTTGTTTTTATTGGTTTTTAAATTGATGGTTTTGCGAGGCATGTAGTGCCAGGCACCTAGTAGGAGTTTAATGTTTATTGGATTGTTCTTGTTTAGTTGGCAAACTTTTTTTCCTTTTTTTTTTTTTAATCCTGATTTTCTCCTGACTTCTAGGCCCAAGAAAATGTCTGGTAACAATGATTGGTTTCAGAGTTCCCAGGTTCCTAGCTTTGCTCAGATGTTGAAAAAGAACTTGCCAGTTCAACCTTCTATAGCAACAGTGAATCCTCCTCCAGGACATTCATCATCAGAGAGTTACAGTGTGTCAAATTTAGCTTCTAAGGTTACACAAGTCACAGGTACTTGCTTGTAGTAATACCTGCCTCTTTCAGAGCTGCTAACATATGTTACATTCCTTTGAAAAGTCTTCTCTTCCTCCATAGCCTGCCGCTATCACCATGGTGCCGGTCCTTGTCCCTTCTTTTAGATATACGGGTACCAGAATGATAATGAATAAAACAGAAATTTGCCCCGTCATAACATAGTAAGCTCTAACTGGCTTCTATGATCAAATACCAGCCACATTGTTGCAGCCCTGTTCACTCCTGGATTTTCTACAATAAGCTGGATCTTGGCCCCTTCAGTCTTTCCCCCTTCCTTTCTATGGTATGTAGACTTGGTATAATCAGGTGCTTACTTTAGAACTGAGCTTACTTTAGAAAAACTCAAGCCTTAGTGGCTACCTATTACCTCTGGGTTTTCAGAAGCCTGAATTCTTTTGTAGCTTTGAAGGCCCTTTTCAATCAGGTCAGACCTTGAGATGGCATGGTCACCAATGTGAGTCTTTGGATATTCTTAGGATAATTTTGCTGTGCTTTGAGCAACAGCATGGCATGGTGGAAAGAGCCCTAGTTTCAGAGAACCTGGGTTCACATCCTGTCCCAGATGCTTCCTACTTGTATTAGCTTGAGCAAATCACAACCCCCTGGGCCTCAGTTTTCTCCTTTGTAAAATGAGATCAGACTAGGTGATCTTTGAGGTTCTTTCTAGTTCTAGTTTATGATCCTATGATATGAGTATTCCTAGCACTTAGAAAAAGAAGCCATTGTCACTGAAAGCCAGCATTGCTTCAAGAAGAGGTTCGCCAGATAAACTTGACTTCCTCTTTTGACAGGGTTCCTATCATAGCGGATGAACAAAATGTGATAACTGGAGTCTACTTAGATTTCATTTGACAAATGCTATCCTTGTGAACAAGATGGAAAGAGAGAGACCAAATGATGGAACAGTTATTGGGGTGGGGGGAAACAGAACTGACCGGACCCAAAGTCCTTAGTGGTGCAATGTCACAGGCTTGGTCCTGTGCTATATGTAGGTGCCATTTTTATTAGTGACATGATTGAAGACCTGCAAGGCATATTTGTCATACTTTCAGATAGCATGAAGTTTGGAGAGAAAGCATTGGATCAGGTGTGTCAAATTCAAATAGAATAAGGATCCTCTTGGGTCTTTTGATCAACTTAGAAAGCCACATATTAATATCTGTGTTCTATTGTATTTTTGTTTATTTTGTTAAATATTTTATCATTTCATTTTCATCTGATTTGAGTAGTGAGTTTGACTCCTCTGCATCCCCAAAAGTTCTCAACAGGCTAGAACATTGGGCTGAATTTAGTAAGAAGAAAATATACATATGTGTATATATGCATATGTGTGTATATATACATATATACATATATGTATACATATATATATTCTTATACTTGATTTTTTTTAAAGACCACAGAACGAGTTGAGGGAGTTGTGGCTAAACAAAAGTTCATTGTTAGAATTTGGGAATTTTAGTGTATTGCAAGCTCATTGTGTGTCAGCAGTATGGCATGACAAGTGATCATTCTTAGTTTGATGCTTGGGATCTGTTCTCCTGGCCAGGGTAGCTTGCCATACTAGTGTAGTCTCGGGAAGCCCCAAAATGGGGCTTTCATGTGACAGGAAGGGAGCTGGTAGAGGGTGGCCAAAGTATTGCTATCCTCACTTCCTCCTTGCCCTACTACTTTCATGCGTTCCATACTCAGCAAGGAAGGGTTCCAGCAAAAGGATGCAGGCAGAGTTCTGGACTGCAGGAATCTGTCAGGGGAGCCTTATGGATCATGGAGAAACCTTCAAAGACAGGTTTCTGAAAACAAGCAAATGATATAAGGAAAAAAAATGCCTGTTATTTGAGGCTGTTCAAAAGTGGGAGAGTCCATCTTTCTTGTAGCAGATCCTATTCTTTCAGAGGTCTTAGAGCAGAGGCTGGATCAGGAGTGGTTGGTGAGGTCATTGAGGAGATTCTTGGTCACTTCCAGGCTAGACTAGTTTGTCTTTAGGCCATGGGATTATAGAAATTGAGTTGGAATGAACCAACCCCCTAATTTCACAGATGAGGAAACTGAGGCTTAGGTCATGTCAGTGCCTGGTCCAGGGCCTCTTCACTCCAGAGCCAATGCTGCCCACTGGAATGAAGACCTCTGGAGGCCCTTGAGAATCTCTGATTCCCTCACTTATATACACAGTGGATGGGGCAAGGTAGGTTGGAATTGGGGCAAAGGAGATAGAGATAGAAATTTGAAGAAGGGATAGAAATGATGTTTGTGCTGTATTTTATAGTACATGCCTTAAGTATAAGTATTATTTCCATTTTGTGGGTAAAAACACTGAACTTGTTTCCACATCTGTAAAATGTGGTAGATGGACTAGAGCACCAGATCTCTTCCAAAATTCTGTAACTTTATTAATTAAATGACATTTACCTTTCTTTCTTTCTTTTTTCTTTTTTGTTTTTTTGGTGAGGGCAATTGTGGTTAAGTGATTTGCCCAGGGTCACACAGCTAGTAAGTGTTATGTGTTTGAGGCCAGATTTGAACTCAGGTCCTCTTGACTCCAGGGCTGGTGTTCTATCCACTGGGCCACCTAGCTGCCCCCTTTTTTAATTTTTTTACTTACCTTTCTTTAAATTAAATGCTTTCACAGATTGTACCCTAAAGCACCTGAATAGTTTAACAGCAACCTATTGTCTAAACTGCCAGAGCATATGTAATTGATTTTATATACCTTGATCTGTCTAATGTCAGCATTGGTTTTCAGACTAGAGGAAAAGATGTCTTCCCTTCAGGGAAGACAGTAGGCTTTTTGTTTTGCTTCGTCTTTTTAAAACTGACCTGAACTAGTTGGTTGTGTTTTTTAGGTAACTTTCCAGAACCACAGCTTTCCAAAGTAGTCCTACCTAATCCAAATACTATCCTCCCTCCCAAGAAGATTCCCAAGGAATTCATTTTAAAGTACAAACGTGGGGAGATAAATCCAGTGTCAGCCCTGCATCAGTTTGCACAAATGCAGCGTGTGCAACTTGACCTTAAGGAAACTGTAAAAACAGGTAAGTGTTTGCTGAAGTTGTCTCTACTTGTCACGGAAAGTAGAATGAAGGAATGCAATAGCTTTCAGAAAGTTCTTTTTAGGTGCTGAGTACTGTGCCAGGCACTGGGGACACAAGGAGAAGAGCAAGACAAGAAGTTCCTCTTTTAATGTGGAGGTGGGGAAACATGAAGCATGGGGGAATTTTCAGCTGCAAGTTGGAGGGAAAGGCCCCAAGTTTCTTGGGGATGGAGACAGAAAAGCCTCTTCTGGTCCTTTCCACTGATTGAACCATTGGTAGAGACAAGGACTTTGGTGACCAGAGCTCTCTTTTTGGGTTGTTAGTAACTGTGGTTCCTGGGGGTGGGTTGGGGAGGTAGCTTGTAATATCTACCAAGGCAATTGCCACATAGCAATTTCTTGGGTTTCTTCCCTGGGTGATGGCTTTAAAGGCAAGACTACCAGTGGTGCCAAATTTAGTACAACAGCCCTGGTTAGGCAGAAGGTTTTGCCAAGTAACATTTAGCAGTTTGACATCCTTTTAAAAAATTATTATTTATTTTAACATTTAAAAATATTTTTTCAATTACACATTAAAAACAACTTTTAACATTCATTTTTTAAAATCTTGAGTTTTCAATTTTCTTCCTCCCTCTTTTCCCTCCCGCTATTGAGAAGGCAAGTAATTTGATATAGGCTATGCATGTGTAATAATGTAAAGCCTTTCCATATTAGTCATGTTATGAAAGAAAACACAGACCAAAAGAACCCCAAGAAAAATAAAGTTTTTTTTTTTAAAAAAAGGATGCTTCGATCTGCATTCAGACTCCATCAGTTCTTTCTCTGGAGGTGGATAGCATTTTTCATCATGAGTCCTTCGGAATTGTCTTAGGTCCTTGTGTTGCTGATAGCAGCTAAGTTTAACATCCTTTTGTTGTGGTTTTGGTTTTAGCATTCTCAGTATCGGAAGGGGAATCTGGTGATAAATCCCACAATTTGTGGTTAGTTAGACTAAAGTGCTTGTTTTCTGGGTATAAAATCTCTGTATTTGTACAGGAGACGTCTACGCATGGAATCTCAGTATCTAGACCACTGTTACGTAGGAAATATGTGATGAAAGTTTGGATAGGTTTGGAATGCAGCTTAATTATGATCATTTGTTTTAGCAACATCAGGGAACTTGATTAAAAAAAAACGAGCGTTTGAATTACTGGTGCTTTCTAGAGAAGGCACATGGTGTAGTAACACTTGTCAGTTCTTTAATTTCATTCTCTTTTTGTCATTCATTCAACAAGTTTTTATTAAGCACCTACTGTGTTCCTGGACATACAAAGACAAAACCTGAAAAAGCCTCTTCCCACAAGGTGATTATATTCAACTGGAGGAAACAGTACCTATAAGTAAATAGAAAGTAACTTGGGAGTCAGGAAGGGCAGAAATAATTGGAGGGGTTGGTAGGGTGGATTTAGGTCAGGGACAATTATGCTTGATGAAACTCTTAGCTGGTGTATGTGGTGGAGAGCTGCCTCCAGGTCAGCTAACATGCCACAGTGGCTCTCCCCAGGCCCAGATTCTGGAGGATACAGGCCTCTCTCCAAAACACAGGAGGGTTGCTTACTTGCTGGCCCCTGAGGAAGCTTCTCAAGATCCCAAAGAAAAACTGTGAAGGTGGCATTTAACCATGGTTATTGAGTGGACTGTGGAATACTGGAGGGGCCATTCAATAAGAAGACCACCTAAGTGCCCAGGACTGCTTTATTTCACCAGACCAGAAAGAACCATCCTCTCTGGGGAGTCAGCAGGCCCTGATGTGTTGACCTCATAATTTTGGAGGGTTGCTAATGAAAAGAAAGCCATCCCTTGGAATGGCTTGATTCTGGCTACCAGACGGCTAAGAATTGTGGATTGTGTTGGGTAAATTCCATTAATGGGCCCAGGAAGCAGGTCTTATTGAGTCTGAAGATACAGCCAAATCATGCAAGAAAGAACAAGTTACTCTTCAGCTAGCTGGTTCTGGGATTACCACAGAGAATCTCACATAATGGGAAGGGATCTGAAAGGCCAGTGAAGGTTGGCACCGACCCTCTTGGTAAAGGTTCTCCCCTCCCACCCTGTCTCAAAAAATACCCAGGGGTGAGAGGGGAGAGAGGGATCCTGTCTGTGTCTTCTTTCGCTTGTGTGCCCCAGTTTATGAGATAAGTTGTTTTCCTTTTCCTTGCTAGTGTATTTATTCCCCCTACTTTTTCTTTTAATATCATCAAAACATAAAACCATTCCCAGAATCCCTCTCTGGATATAGATATCTGAGGAGCAACTTGTTCTTTCTTACAATGGCCCATCTCTTGGTGGTCCTTTTTTAACTTATTTAACTCTGTCTTTTTTCGCCCACTTTAGGACCCTTGATGAACATTAGGATTCTGAAAGTTGGCTTGTACCAACTCCCCCATTAGAATGGAAATAGTTCCATTTTGTTTAGTCCTTGCCTTTAGAAAAGTCAGTCTGGGAGGGGAAGACCCTCAGAGTTTCTGGCCAAAACAGAAACAATTACCATTTACACTCATTCTGAGCTATCAGAGTCCAAACAGTGACCAAGTGAGGCTTGGGCTGGGACCTGTTGTTGGCAATCAATGAGAGCCAGCATGATTTGAGTTTGAGGCATGGTCCTTAAAAAAGAAATCTAGCCCGTAAACCCCAAGATCTTGTGAGATTTCAGCGATCAAAATGTATATTCCTTTGGGTAGAGCACTTGAAGGTAAGGCTATAACTCCCTGTGTAGACAGAAGGAGAGGAGGGAGAGGAGGAAGAGGAGAGAAGGTAGAAGGAAGGGAGAAAGGAGCTATTTTGCCCAAATGGAACTGGCCAGTTGGGTCCCTAGTTGGGCAGCTCCTACTACTCACAGATCATTTTTGTCCTTCATTCTTGAAAAGGACCATGGCATTAGAATGGTGATGTCATGACTTGCAAGTGAATTGGATTTAAGTGAGGGAGAGCTGTGCAAAGTCACCAGCCTCATTTTCTCCTCTGGAGACATCTGGTGTGACTGCAAACAACAATGAATGACTTTCCCTCCTTCTCTCCTTCCCAGCATTCCTCTTTCCCTCTTCTCCCTCTGTCCAAATAGGAAACATATTCTTACCTGTAGATGCTCTGCCAAAGGAATATACATTTTGTTCGCTAAAACGTTGCAAAATATCTTGGGTTTTATGGGCTAGATTTCTTTTTTATGGATCATGCTTTAAATCCAAGTCACTCTAGGCCTCATTAATTGTCCAACAATAAGTCCCAGCCCAAGCCTCTCTTGGTCATTGTTTGGGCTCTGATGGCTCAGAGTGAGTGTAAATGGCAATTGTTTCTATTTTGGCGTAAACCCTGAGGGTCTTCCCCTCCTAGACTGATTTTTTTTTAACTAGATAAAAGAGACCATTCTTTGCCTCATTTCTTACCTAGCCTTAATCACAGAATGGACATTGCCTCAGTGAAACTGAGACCTGGCTTAAACTGAGACCTTAGCTTAAAAAGGCCATCTCCAGTTGTCCTGATCTATATCTTGCCACTGGATTGATTCATATATTTTCAGACATGGAAAGACTTTTTGTGTGACTTTAATTGTGAACAAATTGGGAAAGGCAGATGGTATTGGTCATTTCTGATGATGCGGCATCCAAGGAGCCAAAACCAGGGTTGGAGACACGTAGGAAGAATCTTTTGGAATCTGAATACCCAGACTTTGACCTTTTGGTTTATGTACTAACATATGCTAAACATTTGGCCAAATAGAGTTAAATTTAGCTCAATGTGGAAGGAGCTCCCTTGAGAATTAGGGGGTTTCCCTTCCCTGTAGGTCTTGAAGCAAAGCCTATATAACCATTTCCTGGAGATGTTGTCAAGGAGATTCTCAGTCAGGAATAAGTTGGGCTAAATGGCCTCTGAGATTCCTTCTGACTCTGAGATTCTGTGATTCTAAGTAAAGAAAGATAAGTGGCTAAAAATCTCCCACGAGTGTTGCTGACATATCTGTTTTAAATTTTTAAACAGCATTATGGATTTAATACTGTCTTATTTTTAGAATAATTTTTCTAAACTGGAAAAATAAATTGCTGTGTATTTTTATATCAATAATATTTTCTTTCTCTTGACCCATTTGACCAAATTCTGGTAATTGTGTTCACAGTTTAAAACTCATACCAGTGTCCCCCGGGTATTTCTTTCAGGTAATGTTATGGGTCCTTATTTTGCTTTCTGTGCCGTGGTGGATGGTATTCAATATAAAACTGGACTGGGACAAAATAAAAAGGAGTCTAGATCCAATGCAGCCAAGCTAGCCCTTGACGAGCTTTTGCAGTTGGATGATCCTGAACCAAGGAATGTAGAAACATCAGGTGAATGCTCTAGTCATTGAATAGTGGTTCTTTCCCCTCATCTCTCCCCCATACAGTCCCTCCCTCACCCCCCCCATTGATAAATACATAAATAGGGATGTGACATTATATTCTTGGTCAGAATGAAGATCGCAGTAGCAGATACTGTATTATCCTAATTACTTCCTCTCTCTTATAATTGTAGCTCTCTAGGCTTGACCATTTTGGCTTCAAGACTTAATGAACCCTCTTGGACAGAGCTCCCAAAGTGACTATGTTTTCTCCTCCCTGAATGATTCCATATTTATCTGTCCCATATTGACCTGATTCTCCAAAATGGTGATACCATGAGCTATGAGGAACAATACCAGAGAAATAGAAATTGGAGAGAATCAACCAGAAAGCTTTGGCTGTAAGATGCACCAAAAACTGTGTGGAAAAAAAGCCCCAAAACTTAAGTTAGCTGCAAAGTAGGCCTAGCTGTTGTCCTCTCCCCCAAAGACTTGTTGTAATAAATGAACATTCACTTGTATTACTATTTTTCATGTATATGTAGATATTTTTATGATTAATAAACTGCAAATTATATAAATTACAAATTAATAAACTACAAATGGTTAAAAAAGAAAATAGCTTTAGTTTTCTGATCTTGTTCAAATACTGTTTTTCTCATAGAATATGCTTTTTGTTGTGATATTTTATACACTACCATGTTACCAAAAATATGAAGCAGCCATCTTTAAAATTTTAAGGGCTTTATGTTTCCTAACTTATTTTTTTCAATAGGTCCTCCTCTCATCCCTGCAGAACCTGTCATTTCAGCTGAATCAAATTATGTTTCCAAGGTGCATTATGGTAGGAAAGTCCTTATGTTCTTATTTGGTACCAGTTGCACCACCTAAAGAAATATTACATGTACAAATTTGCTTCAAAGATCTGTGTTTTTGTTGAGTTGAGGATCTGCTGAGAAAGATATGATTGCTCTTATTTGATAGATAAGTTTTCAAGATTTGATGTGATCAAAAATTTCTTTTCCTTGTGTCCAACCTGGTGATGAACCATCTCATCCTTAGTGAGGCTGGCTTTTGAATGGTAGCCATGGTAAGTCTATCAGTGGACCAGCCTTGAAACCTTTCCAGCTGATATAAAAGCTTCAAAAATTTGGTCTCCACTGGCATTGCCTTCAATAACCCTTGGGTCACCTTGGCCCTGGGTATGATGAGTTTTTGGGTGTGGCAGACACCGAAGTTTAATTCGCTTTATTGGAGTTATATATGAGAAGTTAAATTAATGTTGCTGATGTGTTAGCTTTCTAAGCTAGAGTAAAACCACTGACAAGGGGAAAGGCACTTTGGCTTCATGTGAACTTTTGACTCTTCTGAAAGTTACAGAGGTTAGAGGAAACTCTGATGCTGGAGGTTAAGGAGCAGACGAGCTAGCTATTTCCTCCCTTGAAGTTGGAGACCAAGGTTTGCAGGCAGCCAGCTCATCAACCTCTAGTCTGCTGCTAGTGCAGGGTTTCTTATAAACCATTTTTGTCTGTCTTGGGCTCCTTTGGCCATCTCACAGTAATGTTTTAAAATGCATAGAATAAGATGCATAGGATTACAGTGGACACCCAACTCCGTAGAAATAGTTATCAAAATAGAAAAAAATAAAACCAATCTCTTAGACCCAAGATTAAGAGCCTTTGTTCTAGAGCAGGGCTGGGGAACCTGCAGCCTTGAGGCCATGTAGCCCTCTACGTCCTCAAGTGTAACCCTTTGTCTGAATCCAAACTTCACAGAACAAATCCCTTAATAAAAGGATTTGTTCTATAAAACCTTTAGCAAGCTGCAGGTCCCCCAGCCATGTTCTAGAGCTTCCTGAACTATAATCTGTATGACATCTTTCCATCTGCATCCCAGTGACAGTGGATTGTCGATGACTCTCAGGGGAACACTGTTAAGTCTTCAGCGGAAAGTAGTAAGGCTGTGCTTTACTGTTTCTCTCCTTTACCCAAGAAATTGAATTCAAAGGAGTTAGCCCTTTTCTGTTTCATGGACTAAGGACCTCTTTCAGTATTTGTAAAACCTGTTAGACTGGGGAAAAATTAACATTTATACTATGGCAAGACCATCTAATACTTGGCTTTGTGGGTCATGATATAACAATAGAAATTGATAATCTGGAAGGAGCACTAAAGGCCAACCAGTTCATTCTTCAACTGTTAGAAGCGTGTAATGCTAAGTTGCTGCCAAGTTGATAATTAGAATCTAGTTTAGTGTAGGGTAATGAACATGCCAGTTGGGAGCCAGACTAGAATCAGACAGATAAAGATGTGGGAGGGAGCAGTTGTTGCCAATAGAATACAAATTGGTTAGGAATACCAGAAAGGAAAGAAGAGGTATGTAGGCTCACAGGCAGAAGAGACAGAGCTAAGAGGAGGGTATCTTAGGCGTTTAAGCATCTCCTGATCTCTCAGATTTTTCAGATAGGTTCCATTCCTGAAAATAAAGAGGAAAAAAACTCCTTAATTCAGCAACACTTTGTCAGTTGAACCTCACAGTATATGCAGTGTTCTTCACCGTAATCCACAAAGAAGGGATGTCTAATAATTCCTTTTTTTAAAAGTGAATTTTATTGTATTTTTATGGCCTAAATTTCTCCCTCTATCCATTCCCCCCACCAAGAGATCCATCTCTGATAACAAATACTTTTGAAGGAAAAAAATGAGAGAGAAAAAAATTCTGCAAAACTGATCAATACACTGAAAAAAAATCAGACATTATATGCCATGTTCCATACTCATGGACCATCCCCACCTCTGCAAAGGAGTTGGGGGGAAGGTGGCTAATAGCTTTTTTTTTCCATCAGTACCAAGTCGCTTTATTGGGATGTAAATGATGGTAGTTTTTTGGTGCCAATTACGAAAAGGTCAAATAACCAAAGTATGCATGCACTGAAAGACAGTAGGAGTCATGCCCACAGTTCTCAGGTGTGGAGGAAGCCAAGTGTGGCTTAGCTCTCTTCTCACTCTCTCCAAGGCTGTGCTTGTTAAAAAATTCCACCATACCAGAATTAGGGGCCCCCATTTTGCACAGGTAGGTTACATGATCACCCAGTTGTTTGATGGACTTTACCTGTTCATCCAGGTAGTGGATTTCAATGAAATCACATAAATGGGGGTCGTTTTTATCAGTTGTCAGCTTGTGCAATTCCTGTAATGACTTATTGATATTTTTTTCCAAGTGCAGAGCACACTTCGTTGCATTCAGTCCACTCTTCCAGTCTTCTCGGTCTGGTTTCTTGATGTCTTGAAGGAAGATCCAGCCACCTCATTGGTTTGGGAGTTTCATCAGCTTCTCAGCATGTTCCCTTTCCTCATGGGATTGGTGTAGGAAATACTTGACAAAGTTCCTCAATGTTACATCACCTTGGTCGAAATAGTATGACATGGACAGGTAGATGTAGGAGGTATGGAGCTCCAGGTTGACCTGCTGGTTGGTGGCAGCCTCTGAGTCCTGGTGATAGTTCTATCACACCTGAGAAGGAGATGAGGTCATCATGGCGATGGAGATGGTGGAAGTGTCAGAGAAGAGGAGGAGGCAGCACTAGGGTGGTGGCAGCTGAGGCTGCAGTGGCAGTGGCAACAACAGCTGGGGGAGACTGAAGCTGCTGCTCAAATAGTAGGATGGAAGAAGTTTGATTAGTGGAGGTGAAGGTAGAGAGGTAGCTAAAGGCAGCTCCATCTGGGAATCGAGCAGTGGGTTCCATTCAAGCACTATTGGAGCAGGAAATTGCAGCAACTCCCCTTCCCTGCACTTTTGGCCACTAATAGCTTTTTAACAGGACCACTTGCCTTCACTTCTCCCACTTCCAGGTCATTTTCATAATTAAGTAATCATCATTTATTAAGCACTTACTTTGGATCAGGCTCTGTGCTAAATGCTGAGGATATCAAGAAAGGCAAAAATAATCCTTCCCTCAATGAGCTTACATTCTCGTGGGGAGGAGTAACATGTATACAAGTAAGCAGATGAAACTTACTAAGAGAGGAGATGGAAGGTCACCTTGGATGGGAAAGCTCTGGAATCTTGGAGGATGTTGAAAGGCAGGGGTTCTGAGGCAGAAGGCAGCAAGGAGAGCAGTGTAGGTCTTGGGGGTAGATGGGGCATAGGTGTGGAGACAGATTTTAATGTGAGGAACAGCAAAAAGGCCAGCGTTCAGGATTATTTTAAAGCATATGAAGATGAGTAAAGTCTAGGAAGACAGGAAAGGTAGGAAGGGGCCAGGCTATGAAAACCTTTGAATTACAACTAAAGGATTGTATTTGATCTTAGAAGTAATAGGGATCCACTGTAGTTTATTGAGTAGGAGGAAGGGGTGAAACAGATTAATCTTATATGGAGAAAACCTGGTTTTCTTACATCCCTTTTATCTCTGCTGCCACCACCTTAATCCAGGCTTTCATCTCCATAGGCCTAAATTTGCCAGAAGTATACCTGATAAAAAGCCCCCTCTGATTGCCATAGCATCAGTAAGGTGGTCTCTGATACCATGCCAGCTACCCTAGTCCAAGAAAGACTTGTTCTCACCTCAGATCTCTACTGAGCATGGTTGATGCCTTCAGCCATTTACCTTCTATTCCACTGTGCCATGTAGCTGCCCCTGGTCTGTGTTCTCTTACAGGGTTTCTGATATATACAGCCATACTTTCTTGCCTTTGGCACTTATGCCACCATACTCCTGAATTTCTAGTGAAATGTTTCCCCCAGTCCTGTAGAATGATTGAACACTGATATTGGTGGGAATAAATCAGTGATCCTACATGTCTCAAACCAGCTTGGGGGAAGAATGGCATAAACTTCTCCTCTACAGACATAAAACAGACCAAGAATTCTGAGCCCCCATGTGAAATTTGAAAGGGGAGAGGGAAGAGTGTTTTCATCCCAAAATTTTTGTCATAGTCGGTAAAATTAAATAATCATAAATAACATTTGTGAAACTGATATATTTAGGTTTGTAATCCACCTGTATTTTGTTGTAAATGGTGGCTCTGATACAGATAAATGATTGCTTGTTTTCAATATTTGGGAAAGGAAGTTATTGTGTGTACTCATGAACAGTCCCCAAGTTCAACGAATTACTTGAAGTTCTGTTTCTGACAATACAGAAAGTAAAATTTGGAAGAGGAGTATCTACTGTTAATGAGATTGTTCTAGTTTTGTGGAGAACTATAGTTTAATAATAGTTAAACAATACTAGTTAATATATAGTTAAATAATTATAGTTTATAGTTAAATAATCATGATAAAGGTGGGAAAAAGTGATTGGCTTTGGTTTAGTATCATTTACAGTCTCTTGGGATCATATAAATGACATAAAACCTATATAAAAGGTCTAAAGGGTCCAGTTTAGATCCTTTGAAGTTGTCTTCTCTACTTACAGAGGATCATTTGGAATAACAGGGAAAGCCACCCAAAGATCAAGTTCACTTTGATGAATATGGTGGCATATCCAGCATCCATGATGCCTGATGCCTGAAGATGATACAAAGCATGTCCTACTTCACCATGAAGCTTACTAATAGTAT